CCAGCGCAGCATGGGTTTACCGAGAGAAAATCGTGCCTGACTAACCTGCTCACCTTTCTGGATGAGATTACTAAGAGGCTTAATGAAGGTCAGCAGGTCGAGGTCTGCCTCCTGGACTTCTGCAAAGCCTATGATTCAGTCAGTTGCTAGACCTCAAGCTACAATATGCAGGATTATATGAGGCGGTGAAAAATTGGATAGTGCAGTTCTTCAGCCATCGCACGTTCTGTGTGAAGGTTGACGGCTAGCTGAGCGAACCTGCAAGATTAACAAGCGGGGTGCCTCAATGATCAGTTCTAGGATCGCTACTATTTTGAATTTGCATCAACGACTTGACACGGGATCTCCAAAATCCCTGTTTCATGTTCGCGGACGATGTGAAATTCAGTGGAACAAATCTATAGTGCGATGCAGAAGCGGTTAGACAATGGTCGCTTCAGTGGGACTTACCATGAAATCTCGAAAAGTGCCAGCTCTTAACAGGAGTCATTCTCAAGAAGAATTCCAAGCCCGAAACACAACATCTGAAGGCAGCCAATAAGGCTTGTGGTGAGCTCTTCAGATTGTGTGCTGCCCTTACATGTAGAAAAGCAGAGGTCTTTATACCTGTCTACAAGGCAGTAGTTCGCCCCCACTTAAAATATTGTGTTCAGGCGTGGGCACCATACTTAGAGAAGATATAGCATGTCTGGAGAAGGCGCAACGACTTGCTACCCGAATGGTAGCTGGGCAAAAGGGAAAAAGCTGTGAACAGCAATTGAGAGACCTAAACCTCTTTCCTCTGGAAAGTAGACGGCTGCGAGGTGACCTGATAGAGATCTTTAAAATAGCCAGAGGGCTATCAGGACTCCATGCAGATGATTTGTTAACGGCTTCTCTTGCGCAAAACACGAGGGGCCATAGCTTTAAGCTCTAACAGAACCATACTAGGTTAGAGTTCCGGGCCAAATTCTTCGCACATAGGGTCATACTTATGTTGAACAGGTTACCCGGGGAGTTGTCAGCTGCAGCAATGTGCACAATTTCAAGACGGCACTTGATGCGTGTTGGCCGAAAATGTTCCCTGAGGTTAGGTGCTAATGTATCGTCACTGAGAGCCGGGTAAATCGCAGCCCCCGAACTGTGGAATCGGGCCTTTTAAAATTGCACTTGAAACTGGCATGTCTCAGAAAACTCAGATCTCTCACCGACGAGGTGAGAGGACATCTCTTCTGTTTTCTCTTTTCCAGCTCGTCTGAGAGAACCTGGCTAAAGAAACTCAGACAACGCAGCATTGGAAGCCAAGAACACCAGCCGACAACATGATAATCTGGACGCGAGGGCCAATATACGTCCTGTGAAGACTGGACTGGACTGGACTGAAGTGGCTACATGAAAATGCCCTATGGCAAAATGTTAGGGAAAGCACTAGATTCAGGTCGGATAATGCTCCGTCCCAGCTAGTGATCACCACATACAAGAATGATTTCATGGCGCTACAGTCACACCCACCTCTTGGTAAAAGCGACCACATCATCATATCGATCCAAGTGTGCATGCAGCAAGCTAGGAGCCCATCCAGGCTGATTAAAAATTTCGGCTGTATAAATATAGGGAATCTTAGAACCAGGGCATCGGAGTTCGTTAGGGATGCTCCGAAAGAGACTAGTGTAGAAGATCAATGGATGTTAATTAGGGAGGCTCTCGTATGTCTGCAAAACGAATTCGCTCCATTGAGACCCAGCCAACGTAGCGACAAGCCGTTGTGGCGAAGGGCAGCCATAGTCATGGACAATAAACAACGAAATAGGTACTGGAAGAGCTTCAGAGTTTCCAGGAATCAACAGGCGTGGATTCTTTATAGAAGATGTAGAAATGAGACGGTTAGGCTAATACCAGAAGCAAAAAGTCATGGGCTTCAGCTGATCCAATGCGCCAAAATCAAACCAAAGAAATACTACAGCTACGTTCGGTCCAAAAGAGCACCGAGAGAGGGTATGGAACCATTAAATATAGGTACTGCAGCGGTCCTAATGGACAACCAGGGTAAGGCAGATGCCTTGGACGGCTATTTTGGTAGTGTACACCGAACGGATGACAGTTTGCCGGGAACCTTGGAGATAGAAACATCCCCGGTAGAAATTGGGGAGCTTCAGTTATCGGAAGAGTTAGTGCGGCAGCGCTTGGAGGTCCTAGACGTCCATGAAGCAGCTGGACCGGAATAGATTCATCCAGCTATAATCAAACCCATAGCGGACATCCTCGCAGGACCAGTGTAAAAGTTATTCAAAGCTTCATTAGATCAGGGTATCCTACCGAGGGACTGGAA